ATTGTTTGCCTCATCCCAGTGCTTCTTCTAGTAGTTGTTCCCACATTTGCTCTCCACCAGCCAGCTATCTCTGAGGGCTCCATCTCCTCCTTCCTCAAGAGGTCTGTGGCCATCCTGGGCTTTCTTCCTTCCCTCTCAGAAGAGTACCAACATCTTCTCTACTCTTTCTCCTTTGCAAGGCTGATATGCTGAATGTTCTCCAGTCTTCCAAAAACCAAAACGATTGCTTCTCTACTGCCTTCTCCCTCTTCATTTCCATCCCTAGCACCAGACAAAGTAACCCAGCTGGCTTCCGCCTTCTTCTCCTTCTTGCCTCCAGTTCACGCTCCAGCTCTCAGAACAGCCCCCGTCCCGCTATTGAAATGGTTCTTGCCAAGAGCACCAGTGACCTAATCACCAAATCCTAATCACCAAAGTCTAGGGCTGTTTCCTGGGCCTTGTTCTTCCTGCCTTCAAGATCTCCAGTCGGCCTCCTCTTCTCCCTTCCCTTGACCACTCTCTTTCCTGGGGCCACCAATTTTGCTTCTAGATGACCCAATTGAACATCCACACTGCAGTCTGGGTCTTCTTTTTCAGACAAAAACACCTTGCTGCAGTGGCTTGCTTTACCTTCAGGACAAAGTCTGCCCTCTTACAGAAAGGGCCTTCAAGGATGTGGCCCCAGCAGGCTTGGCTGCATCTTTTGTTATCCCTTGCTTTTAGCACCTTACACCTCACTTGCATCCAGTTTTTGCAACACCCTTATTGGTCTCCATGTATTTTCATTCCTCTGTCTGGAATGCCTGCCTTTTCCCCCTCCCCTTCTAGGGGTTAAGACTCGCTTCTCTGACTCACTGGAGGCAGCCACTCTCCTCATTTGTTATGGATTGAATTGTGATCCCTCAAAGGATATGCCGAGATCTTAACCCCTGTACTTATGAACATGACCTTGTTTGGATATAGGGTCTTTCTTTGAAGATGTGATCAGTTAAGTTAATGAGGTTGCACCAGAGTAGGATGGGTCCTAATCCCTTCTGAGTGGTGTCTTATAAAAGGGGAAAACAGACACGGAAACACGGTCACATAGGAGGAGACACTGTGTGAAGATACATCTATAAGCAAAGAACGCCAACAAACGCCTGGGGCTACCAGACACTGGAAGAGACAAGGAAGGATCTTCTCCTAAAAAGGGAAGAGAGCATGATCCTGCCAATGCCCTGGATTCAGACTCCTAGCCTCCAGAACTGTGAGACAGTAAATTTCTGTCCTTATCAACCACCTAGTTTGTGGCATTTTGTTATGGCAGCCCTGGGAAATAAAAACATCACTTTTCTTCTCTTCTCTCTCCGCACTATCTTCCTCAGAAAATCCATTTTGCCCCAAAGTTTCAACTTACAACTTGACTCAACAAAAATGCTCTGTATGCCTATCTGGTAGACACTCATTTGGCTAATTCTCAGCTCTCTGTCTTTATGCCTCACTTCTTCGCCTAAGCCCAGGCCCATGTTCTCTTCTGGTCCCAAGATAGCTAATTGTATCTGGACACCTAGACAGGATCCTATCTTCCCAGCCCCATTCCCCAGCAACTACGGCCTCCATGCTCTGCACAGTGCAAGCTAAAATCTCCAGGTCATCTTTGCTCCCTTTCCTTTTTGTCCCCAGCTACCAAATCTCTCTTCACAGACTAAACAGAGTCCTATGTTTTGTCTTTCCTTTCCACTACCTCATATCTGGTCTTACCTCCAGCTCAGCTCCCTGACCCTGTGCTCACTCCCCTCCAACCCACTCCTCATGATACTCACTGATTTTTTATAAGCTAATTAGCTCACAGCATTCATTGGCTCCCAGTGCCTGCTGATAACAGTGTCTCCCAAGCATCAGGCATTTTTGTATCTTTACCATAATGCTCAATATGATTTTTCAGTGTCCCAGCTATACAATTATTTATTTAACATTTTTATTTATATCAACCCTGTCATGGATTGAATTATGTCCCCCCAAAAATGTGTATATCAATTTGACTGGGCCATGATCCCCTGTATTGTGTGGTTGTCCTCCGTTTTGTGATTGTAATTTTATGTTAAAGAGGATTAGGGTGGGATTGTAACACCCTTACTAAGGTCATATCCCTGATCCAATGTAAAGGGAGTTTCCCTGGGGTGTGGCCTACACCACCTTTTATCTTATAGGAGAAAAAGGAAAGGGAAGCAAGCAGAGAGTTGAGGACCTCATACCACCAAGAAAGCAGTGCCGGGAGCAGAGCGCATCCCGGGGTCCCTGAGCAGAGAAGCTCCTAGTCCGCGGGAAGATTGATGAGAAGGCCAACAGAAGGAGAAAGACTTCCCCTGGAGCTGATTCCCTGAATTTGGACTTTTAGCCAACTTTACTGTGAAGAAATAAATTTCTCTTTGTTAAAGCCATCCACTTGTGGTATTTCTGTTAAAGCAGCACTAGATGACTAAGACAAACCCTTTCTTAAAATTATTGTAATAAAATCGTTATCACTGTTGTTAGGTGCCATAGAATTGATCCTGACCCATAGTGACCCCATGTGACAGAGTAGAACTGCTCCTTAGGGTTTTCTTGGCTGTAATCTTTACAGGAGCAGATCTCCAGATCTTCTCGGAGTCTCTGGGTGGGTTTAAACCGCCAAGCTTTCGGTTAGCAGCTGAGTGCTTAACTGCACCATCAGGGCTCCTATAAATGTAAATGAAAAACCAGTAGCACTTGTCATAAAGAGAAAGTTACCTGAAAAACTAATCCTAATACTATTTTTTTAAACCTAAGTTCCTAGGTGGCACAAATGGTTTGTGCCTGACTGCTAACCAAAAGGTTGGTGGCCCAAACCCACCCAGTAGTACCATGGAAAAAAAGGCCTAGTGATCTACTTCCATTAAGATTATAGCCAAGAAAGCCCTATGGAGCAGCTCTACTCTGCAACACATGGGGTCGCCATGAGTTGAAATCAACTCAACAGCAACTAACAACAACAGCAACACGTACCGACTAAAATCAACACGCACGCCAAGTTACTCTTTAGGAACTGAAGGTCAAATGATCAAGGCCAAGCACTTTTGAGGGAGGAGAACATCCCAGGCCCTCTTGACCCAACTCCCACCTCCCACCACCCACCCCACTGAAACCTCAGCTGACCCTGCACCTCCCTGAATATGGCATGCTACTTCTTGCTTCTGGACCTTTGTACCTCTGTCCTATCTGCTTGAAATTCCCTCCTGCTGCTTCAGTGTGTTTAAATTGTTCTCATTCCTTAAGGCCTGGCTTAAGCACTACCAACTCTATAAAGCATTCCCTGAAACCACTATTTGAAATGCTCCTTCCCTGCCCAGGCAATTCTACACTATTTCTCTTTGTACATATAGTATATTTACCTGTCTCACCTATAATAAATTGTGAGCTCCTTAAAAATCAGGAATTGATTTTTATTAAGTTGTACGTCCTCTAGTACCTAAAATAATTGCAGTAGATTCTCAGTAAATGTCTGTTGGTTTGAATATAATTGAATTGAATTGAACGATACTTTCCAAACTCCAGAGGAGGAGGGCAAACATGCTTTTCTATATGTTTGAATCTGTTTACGTCATTAAAAGTACTGGATTTTATGTCTGCAAAATAGATAAAACCTTTTGGGGAAGAAGAGAATTAGACTCTCTCAAAAAACTAATTATAAAATATCACTACATAATGTCTTGCTATGTATCTGTATAATATCTCAATGTATTGGGTTTTTTTTTGAAAATTTGTCAAAATTGCAAATTTACAGGAGTAATATAGCTTTAAAAATATCACTTGATATCTTCTTAAATTTCCATTAACCTTCATTCAATCATTAAACCAAAATTGTTGTCAGTAACATTTAAAATGATACCTTTCCCAGGGATATTTGCATTTCTGCAGGAATCCATGAATTCGAAGGTAAGATCTCTCTTGCATTTATATTATGAGCCTCAGCCAAAAGGTAAAGAACAATTCTATAGAAGGAGTTTTGAAGTTTTCAGTTTGCTGAAACCATACCAGCTCATCCTCCTGACTTGGAAAATTCCATGCAAGGTTGAAAGGCATGTCACAGAATATTAGACCTATCTTGGGTCATCAAGCAGAGGTAACTCCTTCATGTAATCTGCCTGTTCAACTGTGAATGAAAGGTGGGTGTAGTGAATGTTCCATTTCCCTGTTAGTGGAGGTAGAGAGTATGAGAGTGAGGGTAAAAAAAGAAAGAGGGAGATAGACTGTCTCTCTAATTACCTAGTGCTGTTGTAACACAAATACTACTAGTGGGTGTCTTTCAAAGTCAGAATTTATTTTCTCACAGTTCTGGAGGCTAAAAATCCAAATCAGGGTCTCGGCCATGTCAATTCCTTCCTTGTTGGTAGTCCCAGGAATTCCTTGGATCTTTGGCATTCCTTGGCTGGTAGACAATCCTCACATAACATCTGTCTTCCACCATGTGTGTCTGTGTGTCTATTCTGTTCTTTTTATAACTCAGTAGTGATTAGGTCTCTAGCAATGATTGTCAGGATGGTACAGGACAGGGTAGTGTTTCATTCTGTTGTACTTGGGTTGCTATGAGGAAGAACTGACTCGGTGGTACCTAACAACAACAGTTATTAAGTCTAGGACTCAGCCTACACTGGTATGATCTCGTTGACGTAACAAAAGAAAATCCTATTTCCCAACAGAATCACATCCAGGGGTACAAGGGCCAGGAATTCAACACTTATTTTGGGGGGACATAATTCAATCCATAACAGAGACCATCCATGTTTTCATAACTCACTCCCTTCTGTTTGAAAATATCTTATTTCTGTATTTTCTAGGATTGATTTCTGGAGCTTATTCTGAGGAAAATGCTACAAAGAATTACATAGCTCCTTTGCATGAGTTATACCCTTTGTCAGTATTAAATGGCTTAGTCACTCCTAGGGGAAGTAAAGAGATTGATTCATGGTGATGTGACCCTCTTGCCACTTGTGGTTCCTTTTTCCCTGTTCTATATCAAGACTTGCAGCCCTGGGAAGGGGCATTTTTGCATCCGAAGAAGAACCTGAGACAACCTGTAAGTAAACTTTCAAAATAATCTCCTTTCTGGAATTGCTTTTTCAAAAAGTCAGGTATTAGTAAATTGCAATAGGCAATGAGACTAGAACACCCTCCCCTTTATTCTCAATAGTCTACCTTTTCACAAACATACCAGAAAGAAAGTATTTTTTAACATCAGCCTGAGGTATGTGAATACTCTCATCTCAGGGAAAATGGCTGCATGAATTAATAGAGCAGCTTGTGTAAACTTGCGTATTCCCCAGCTTTTGAAGAATTAATCCCTGCAGCCAGGCCTCCTGGCAGTGGTGAGGCAGGGGCTCGCTCTCAGCCCCCTGAAGAAGGGCGACGGTGCCTCGCTAACAATGTGGCTTCCGTAGCTTCACGGCACGCAGTGATGGACTGAAATGTTCCACAAATGCTATTCTGTTTACCCGGTAGCTCTCATTAATCTTTCCTTTCTTGTGTGAAGGCTGCTTTCACAAAGTAAGGCATTTGCTGGCTTTCCCAAGGCAAAAACGATTAGAACAAAGTTATGAGAAATCATTCTACCTCAGACAGAGGCCTCTGCTCCTACTTGAGCTATTTTGGCAGTCTGAGAGAACAGTATGTACCCACCAAAGGATAAGTTTGCTAGTTTTTGGGAAAAAAAAAAAAAAGACAGAGAGAAAGGAAAAAAAAAAAAACAACATGAAAAGAAAATCCTCTGTTCTTTTTTTGTCCCACTTTACAGGTGCAGGGTTTTGATATTCTGACTCAGAAAATCCAACGCCAAAAACCAGCTTTCCTGTTCTTCTTCACCTTTTGTTTTTAATAATTGGACTAGCAGGGGCCTTAGAACCATCAAGCCTGAGGGAGCTGAGGTCCCGAGAGGTGAACTGACTTACGTAAGGTCACCCAGCCCGTTTGGGGGAGAGGCAGGCTACACCACCGCCTCTGCACGCCCAGAGTTCCTTTTCCTAACCCAGTGTACACGTGTTTGAATTTCCTTTGAAACAAGATTCAAATCAAGTCGCAACGACAGTGAGAGAGGCTGATGGGCTCAGGCTAGGTTCCCACTGGGGATTTTCAGAGCAGGTTGGAGAACCGAATAGAGGGAGCAGGGACGGATTACTTAATAAGCAAGGTACGCGGGGCTTACTTGGGCTTACGCACCAATATGCAGTGCAAAGTTTCCCAAGGGTTTCACCACATAATGTGAAATTGTGCACTACAGATTAGTAAGTAAGTGCAATTAAGCTTGTGTGTACCTTGCTTACTGTAATCCAGTGCCTACAGTGCTTACTGCTTAACCCACCCCTGAGAGGGGGTGTGGGTTTGGGTTTATGTTTCCCCAGGGTGTCTACAGACTGTAGATGAGCTTGTTGAGTGCAAGCCATTGGCTTCTGCAGGGAGAGCAAGGTCAGAATGACTGGTCTCACTTAATGAGATTGCAGGATGTCAGACAAGGTGAGAGTCAGACAAGGCAAAGAAGAGAGCCACAGAAATGAGATCATCCTCTCCAGGTAGTTCCCCCAAAGGGGGAAAAACAATTGCCCTCACAGTGGCCCCATGAATGAGTAGAACTGCTCCATAGGGTTTTCTTGCCTGTAAAGTTAATGGAAGCAGATTGCCAGGCTTTTCTTCCATGGCTCTGCTGTTGGGTTTGAATCTTTAAGTTAGTAGAAAAGCGCAAACAGTTTGTGCCACCCAGGCACCTTGAAGGAAATAAGAAAACACAGATACTTCTGGGGATAATGTTGGTGTGAGACAACAGGCAGTGGGCCTCTGGTGGCTGGAGAATCTGTGCCCCAGGCTGAGTTTCAGGAACAGCTGAATTTCTTCACGGCTGAATACATATAGGCCCGGTATTGCCAGGTTTTCTGATATATTTTGAAAGAAGCCAGAAATCTAGATTTTTGGGGGTGACATCTGATTTTTAAAAGGGTTGGCTGGCTGATTTCGGCCATAGTTGTCAGCTTTTGACCCTCCGTCTTGGTTGAGCCTCACATCATCCTTCCTCTTCCCTTGGTTCTGCCTCCTTTCTCACTTTATCCTTCCTTTTCTGCACACCTCAAAATTATCTTTCCCTCTTTTATTCCCTGGGATACTTTAGAATCGTGCGGTAAACCAGTTCCCAGTCTCATGCACAGGGTTTTTCTCCATGCCTTGGGAATATTTATTTTTGCCCAAAGAGCTCTAACTGGATTGAGCCCTTCCTCCCATTTCCCATCTTTCTCCAAGCAGCCTCTAAAAGGCTGACCTGATCCCTTTAACCTGCAATTTCTCTTTATTTTGCCTCCATTACCAATGATGTCTATTGCTTGCCTCATCATCCTTGTCTGCCCAGGACAGAGTGCCCGTTTCTTGCTTTTACCAACAGCAATATCCCAGAGTAATGACCACTTTCCCATCTCTCCTCTTAAACCATGGTTTGTACCACTTCCTGGGCAGAGAAGACTTAGCTGGAGTTCACAGAAGAGTGTCACTGAGGGCCCGTCTCTCCTCCACTTTTGTGTGGCTGTGTGAGAGGGGAGAAGGAAAGGATTGGGTGGTGATGGGGAGCCCCTGGTTCAAGCTGAGAGCCAAGCTGAACCACACAGTCTGTGTATCCAGCCTGAGCCCACACTTATCTGCTTCCACACAGAGCTGAGCTGTTGCCATGGGAAACAAGTGGCCAGACTTCTCCATCAACCCAATACGTGCTAGCAAACACTGGCTCTGAGATGCAAACTCAGTGGCCACCACTGTCTTTCCTGGAGGGTATTAAATGTCAGTGGCAGCAGCAAGAGCCCTGGCATGGTGGGCATGGGCTCCCAGTCCCCACTCATCCACCCCCAGATCCCTGTTTGGCCAGCTGTTTGGAGAGTCAAGGAGACCAGACTTCTTAGGCATTGTCCTCAAGACAGATCATCTCTCAAGGTGCAGAACAACACATGTCCTTGCTTCAGATACAAGGCTCAGTCACCAGCCACAACAAATGGACCATGAAATGATAATTGTTGTTGTTAGGTAGTATCCAGTCAATTCTGACTCATAGCGACTACATGTGACAGAGTAGAACTGCCCCATAGGGTTTTCTTTTTTTTTAAGGTCTCATTTTTATTGTTGTAGTTTAAGTGAAAGTTTACAATTCAAGTTAGTCTTTCATACAAAAATTTATACATACATTGCTACGTGACCCTAATTGCTCTCCCTATGCTGTGAGAGCACACTCTTCCTTTCCATCCCCCATAGAGTTTTCTTGGCTGTAATCTTTACTGATGCAGATCACCAGGTCTTTCTCCCATGGAGCTGCTGGGTGGATTCAAACTGCCAACCTTTCAGTTAGCAGCTGAGCACTTAACCATTATACCACCAGGGCTCCTTGAAACAATAATTAGAGTTTCCAAAAGAAAAGATCTTTCTAGAATGGAAGATACTGAAAATGTACCTCACCAATGTTCATCTAAAAATATAGAGACAATAGTGCAAGCTTCCTATGAGGATTAGAAACAATGTATTTAAGATGCTATAATAGTGGCCAGGCATTTGGTAACAACTTGGTAACTAACATCTATTATTATTATTACTACTACTATTTCCTTAAGTCTTAGACTGAGGCACAGGCTATAGTGGATCCACTTTTCTAATTATGTATTTGGTGGTGCCTGAAGGCAAAATGAGTATGTGAGAAATTTTGACTCCCTTACCCAGGAATCCTGGTGAGGATTTTAAGACGGGGTTGATGAAAAGTCGGAGAAGAGATGCTGATTTAATGAAAAATACGCCACTGAGTGTTGGAAAACTGTGGTCTCACTCTAAGCTTTGCCTCCAATGCCCAGGCTGACGTGGGTGAGTCCCTTAGCCTCTTGGGATTTTAGTTTCTACATCTATAAAAGTCAGCCAGGTAAGCATGAATCATCTGGAGCTGTGCTATCCAATGCATAGCCACCATCCACAAAATAAAAAATTCTAATTCCTCAGTGTCACTAGTCCTATTGCAAGTGCTTAATAGACACATATGGCTAGTGGCTACTGTGATGGACAACGCAGATATAGAACATTTCCAGCATCACAGAAAGTTCTATTGAACAGCATAGAGTTCTAGAAATTTACTGCCCAATGTCTGGTCCTCAGATCAGCAGCATCATTACCACATGGAAAGTTGATAGGAATGCAAAATCTCAGGTGCCACCCAAGACCTTCTGAATCAAAACCTGTATTTTAACAAGATTCCTCCAGTGATTACATAGTAAAGTTTAAGAAGCTTTGATATGTAAAATTCCTTCCAGCTCTAAAAATAAAATAGAAAAGTCTGGGTATCTGCTTGGCAAAGTCTTTGAGAAAGAAACAAGTAACAAGCTTGACTAAGTCCTGATTCACTTACTTATTTGCCTGAAAGGAAAGAATTGAGGATATCTGAAGAAAGAACATCAGAATGGCTGAGCCTCCATAGAAGCCCGTAGAAAGAAATCAGCCGATGTCTAAAGGAAAAGTGTATAGCATCACTGTGCTGGGAAGGTGACACATTCCAGTTATCTCTAAGCCTCCCATCAACTTGGGACATTCGATCTTTGCCTAAAGCTCTTTAGAGAAGGAAGTCCTCAATTTTGTGTGACAGCAAAGAAAGAACAAGAAGAAATAGGTTGTATTTGCTGTAAACCTATTTTCAAGGAGTCTTAAGGTGCTTACTGAAGTTCCCTTCATTAAACCTCACCAGGAAAGAACTGAGGCAGGTCTTATATTCAAAAAGGGAAAATGAACAGGGACTGGGAAAGAAATCAAGACCACACGCATCAAGATCACATTCAGCAATGATAGGAAGAGCAGATTAGAGACCAGCCTCTGGGCTCATGGTCCAATTCCAAACCTCTGTTCTGTGGCTTGAGCTGTAAAACAGAAGAGAATGCGTTCTGTCCTCTCTCTGCAGAAACTTTTGGTGTCCTTTGGTGACGTGCTGTTTTCGGCACAAAAACAAGGAGGGTGATGTTAGAGTTGTTGCTGGTTAAGAAAACCTGTGCCTGTTACAGGACAAAATTGCAGTCATGTATCTTATTTAATTGATACTAGATTTTATTGCAGGATGTTAAAATTTTAATGTGTACATAAATCTGTTTCATACTTCCAGCGAAACGTCTGTGTTAAGAACACACTGTACAAGGATAAAGGCAAGAGAAGGGAAAAACAAATCCAGAATATACATTATTAATTTTTCAGAAAGCAAGCAGAATGGTGCCTCTTAAGGGAAATTAGAAAAAAATAAAACAGCTGGGATTTCTGGTTTAGAAAAAAACCCTGCTGATTTGAGACATACCCTTAAAGGATCAACTATTTTGATGCAGGGGAAAAAAATCAGATAGCAGAAATGGATTTGTGATATGTAAAAAAGAAACCCAGAACAAACTCATTGCCATCAAGTCGATTTTTACTCATAGCGACCCGATAAGATAGAGTAGAACTACCCAATAGGGTTTGCAAGAAGCAGCTGGTAGATTCAAACTGCTGACCTTTTTGGTTAGCAGCTGAATGCTTAACCACTGCATTGCTAGGGCTCCTGTGATATGCAGGTCACCTCTTAAATGGTCACGAAAGGAAAGTGTGATGTGTTTCCAGGAGAGACAAACATAGTGGACTAGAGGTCTGTCACATAACCCAGAGTCATGGAATTGGGCACAGCGCAGGGGAGAGAGAGCTGAACCAGGGGTCAGGGGGGCCTGTTCTGAATCTCTGCTGTGCCACCTACTCTCTGTGTTAATCTCTGACAAATTTCAATAAGTGCTCTGAGTCTGAGTTGCCACGTGTGTAAAATGCAAAGTTCATTAGTCTCTGCAGGTTTCGGGGAAGATGCAGAGAGATGCTTTATGTAAAGTAACTAGAATATAATAGGCAGTTAGTATCTATTTTTGTTAGTTGCCCTAGAGTGGATTCCGACTCATGGCATGGCGACCCCATGTGTTGCAGAGTAGAACTGCTCCATAGGGTTTTCAAGGCTGTGACCTTTTGGAAGCAGATCACCAGGCCTGTCTTACAAGAGTAGTTGAGCACTTAACCATTTACCCCACCCAGGGATTCCATAATACCTATTAGCATATCAGTTAGTCAAATGATGTTTTGGTAATCGAATCCAAAGCAATGGCACGGACCACTAGTGGGGACATGTCTGAGAGTAGAAGTGGCCCCTGGTGACCTGCTCCAGTGCTGGGCATCATGCCCACTGCCCACATGCACACCATCAACCCCTCTAGCGCTCCTGCTGGAGCAATAATCGGGTCCGAGTTGGGTTAGCAATTCTGGGGAAGGTCCCTGAGCATAGGGACCCATTGATAATGGTTGTCTCTGTCTTCCCTGGGGTCACAGTGAAGTGAGGGTGCAGTCCGTGCCCATGAGCACACCCAACCTTCACATCAACCACTAATTCTGAAAGGAAGCCAGCTGGCAGGAAAAGAAATTCAAGTCCTTTTGTTGGTCCTCAAACTCAGTGAAAAAGAGGAAGACCTGCAATGAGATGGATTGACACAGTGGCCACAGCAATGTGCTTAAACATGACAATGATTGTGAGGGTGGTGCAGGACCTGGTAGTGTGTTGTTCTGTTGTACATGGGGTTGCTATGAGTCGGAACCGACTTGTCGGCACCTGGCAGCAACACAACACTCCAATGGGGCTGAATGGGCCATTCTAACTCCCTTTCTTTGGATAGAGTAGGAATACTCTTGAATCTCTGTGGAGGAAGGTCCCACATGGTAACAACCCTTCTTTGGACTCAGGCTCTCCCCATTTCTCTTTTCTGTGCTGAGCAGTTCCACTCAGATTACTGTGGCAGGAGCTGTAAATCCTCGATATTATTTCTGGAGAAGCTTACACACATTTATTCCTAACCTGCCTATTTCCCCATCTCATTTCTGCCCTTCATTAGCCTTGTTCAGCCTGAACACAGAAAGAGAATAATTCCTCACCTCTGGTTGTTCAGTTCATGCCCTCTGGCCAACGCTTACACCACCAGTGTGATTCACTGGTTCTAACAGTATGAATACAATCTGTTGCTGTCAAGTAAATTCCAACTCGTAGCAACCCTATAAGACAGAATAGAACTGCCCCGTAGGGGTTCCAAGGCTGGCATCTTTACAGAAACAGACTGCCACATCTTTAACCTTTCAGTTAGCAGCTGAGGGCTTACCTACTACTCCACGAGAATTCTATATGAATATAGGCCCATCATATTTGATGTCAGAAGGGATTTATTTGAGAGTGTTTAAAAATTGATCAACGCCCTTATCAAAATCCCATACATATGGTATGATTCTCATTAGATATTTTCATGTCAATCAAGACAGAATAATCTCGAATTTATTTTATATCACTCCAAATGACCCCAAGACTCTCTGAGTGCATCACATACCTAAACCTATGACTGACAGGGCATGCAGGCAGCAGCCCCATTACACCTCCATCTTAATTATTCTACATCTGGGGAAAAAGAAAAGATGACTAACTCTGTGACAAAATATTCTTATTTTCCTTGTAAGATTTTCAGGAAGGAACTGCACTTGGAGGGTAGTGGCAAGGGAATGAAGAAGCAATGACTACACAAAGTTTATTAGTGGTTATCAGGGGCAGGAGGAAGACGGAAAGGACGAGTCATTGTTTGGGAAACATTGAGCATCTGTATATAGAGGTGGGAAACTTGGCAAAGAATACTGGTAATGATTGCACAGCATGATTAATGTAATTAGTGTTACTGAAATATACATGTAAAAAAATGTTGAATTGGCAAATGTATTATACATATTTTTTAGAACAATCAAAAGAAAAAAAAGCACTGGTTACAAAGCAGAGATTAAATGGCCTCAGTCCAATTCCACATTTAGGTTTGGATGCCCTTGATATGCTTTCTGGTCTACAAAGTCAGAACACAAGGAAATAGGTGGCTATCAGAGTGTGATCCTACATAATGCGGTTTATTGAAATTTCAGCCTGACCATCAGTCTAGGGTGTATTTCAACTATTAAGACCCATGATGTACTATTATTGCCTTTGTCAATGCACAATTAATGCCTAACAAACCTCCACTAAACTCAGTGGCTTAAAAAAGTAAGTATTTATTATTACTCATGTATTTGCAATCAGCTGGTGGATTGGCTGGGGCCTGGCTGGTCTAGGATGGCCTCTCTCACAAGTCTGGCAGTTGGCTGGCTGTTGGCTGAGTTAATAGAGTTGACTGGTCATATGACTGTCATCATCTAACAGTCTTAACTCTGTGTAGTAGATGGAATAATATCCACCCAAAGATGTCTATGTCCTAATCCTTGGAACCTGTGAATATGTTAATTTACATGGTAAGAGGGACTTTGCAGATATGATTTAAATTACGGATACTGAGATGGCGAGATTATCCTGAATTATCCGAGTAACCCCGATGTAATCACAAGGGCCCTTATAAGAGGGAGGCAGGAGGATCAGAGTCATAGAGAGATGTAACGATGAAAGTAGAGGTCAGATAGGAGAGAAGATGCTAAGTTGTTTTCTTTGGAGAAGGAAGGGGGCCATGAGCCAAGGAATGTATGCAGCCTCTAGAAGCTGGAAAAGGCAAGGTAATGGGTTCTTTCCCAGAGCCTCCAGAAGAACTGCAGCTCTGCAGATGTATTTTAGACTTCTGACTCCCAAAACGGTAAGAGAATAACATACGTGTTTCTTTGAGCCACCAAATTAGTGGTGACTTGTTGCAGCAGTACTTGGAAACTTATATATCCGAACTTCTTAGCATGGTAGTAGGGTTCCAAGAGAGCAAGCAGAAGCAAGTCATAAACTCAGGATTGGCACACACTGTCATTCTACCATATTCTATTGACAAAAGACATCACAAGACCAGACTATATTCAAGAGATGGAAAAATAAACCAGTTCTTGATGGAGTCTATTTCTCCATCCTCTTGTTGGGAGAAGCTGTAAAGTCACATTGCAAGGGGTGTGGATACAGGGATGGGTAAAGAATTTTGTGGACATGTGTTTGCAATTTGTCTACCAAAGTGCCATTAGCAAAATAGTAGAGGACTTTCAAAAGCAGCTTCTGACCTTGGTTTCTTTTTAATTTCCAGGGACACAGGGAGCATGAGTGTCTGGACCTTAGGCACCAATATCTTCCTAAGTCTTTGGAGGATCTATGTGTCTCCAAGGAGCCCTAGATGGACGGACTTCATTCAGCACTTGGGAGTTTGTTGTTTTGTTGCTTTCCTTTCAGCGATCTTCCTCTCTGTGGCCTTCTACTGGCTTTTGTCATCATTCGTGGTGTTCACCACCTCCTGGATTACCATGTGTGTCCTGCTCTATTGCTCCAAGCATGCACGATGCTTCACTCTTCTGTTTTTTCTCTCTTGCGGCCTACGTGAAGGCAGGAAGGCTTTAATTGCGGCAGGCACAGGGATAGTGATATTTGGGCACGTGGAAAATATTTTTCACAACTTTAAAGGTCTCCTAGACAGTATGACTTGCAACCTAAAGGCAAAGAGCTTTTCCATACATTATCCACTTTTGAAAAGATATGTTGAAGCCATTCAGTGGATTTATGGCCTTGCCCCTTCACTAAGTCTATTTGAAAACCTTGTTTCTTGGAAGCACACTCTGGTGGTCTTACTTTCCAGTCCCAGTGAAGCAGTGAAGGCGCAGCTAAACGACACCAGAGGCGAAGTTCTGAGTGTGGTGGACCCCATGATGACCACAGCAGAGGTGCTGTCTTCTCTCGGTCAGAGGTTGTTTACTATCACGGGGCTCTTATTGGTCTTACTCCGCACGGGCCTCTTCATGAAACGGTTTTTGGGGCCTCGTGGTTCAAAGTTTGAAAATATCTACATCACTAGACAATTTGTTCAGTTTGACGAAAGGGAGAGGCTCCAACAGAGGCCCTGTGTCCTCCCTCTGAGTAAGAAGGAACGGAAGACGTATGTTGTTGTCCCATCTTTCTGTCTGACTCCTAAGGAAAGGAAAAACCTGGGACTGTTTTTCCTCCCTATACTTACTCATCTCTACATCTGGGTGCTATTTGCAGCCATAGATTATGTGCTGTATCGGCTCATTTTCTCCTTGAGCAAACACTTCCAAAGCCTGCCAGAGCTTAAGGTTCACTTGAAACTGCACACAGAGGTAGGTGCCCATGGGGCATTTCTTGCAGTATATCATGGCTACTTGCTTGTCCATTTTTCAAAAGATCATGAACTTCCCAAGGCAGTTGTTGTTGGGTGCTGTCTAGTCTATTCTAATTCATAGCAACCCCAAGTGACAGAGGAGAACTGTCCCACAGAGTTTTCTTGGCTGTAATCTTTAAAGAAGCAGATTGCCAGGTATTTCTCCTACAGAGCCACTGAGTGGGTTCGAACCACCAACTTTTTGGTTAGCAGCCAAGTGCTTAATGGTTTTTGCCATCAGTGCTCCTTTCCCAAGACAGGGGCAGTGCCTTATTCACCTTTGAATCCCCAGCGCCTGGCACAGTACCTCGCACACAGAAGGAGCCCTAGAAGTGTAGGTGAAATGGAATTGAAGCTCTGAGGTTAGAGTATGATGCAGTTCTGAAAACCTCTGGTGGCTATATTAGTTTCCTGTTTCCTGTGGCTGCTGTAACAAACTATCACATACTGGGTAGCTTCCAACAACAACAATTTATTGTCCCACAGTTCGGGAGACCAGAAGTCCAAAATCAGTATCACTGGGCTGAAATCAAGTTGTTAGCATGGCCATCTTCTCTCTAGAAGCTCTAGAGGAGAATCCATTTCTTGATTCTTCCAGCTTCTCATAGCTGTGGGCATCCCTTGGCTTGTGGCTGCATCACTGCTATCTCTGTCTTCATATCACCTTCTCCTCTATGTAGGTAAAAATGTCCCTGTGCCTCCCTCTTATAAAGATACATGTGACTACATTTAGGGCCCACCTGGATAATCTAGGTTAATTTCCCCATCTCAAGATCCTTCATTTAATCATAGCTGCAAAGATCCTTTTACCAAATTAGGTGACACTTATAGGTTCCAGGGATTAGGACTTGATATCTTCGGGGGCCATTTTTCAGCCTCCTATAGTCACCAGACACTGAAATGTGGGGAGAGATGTCTCTGATGTTGAAAATGAAGTTGATTCGCCAGTAGAAGGATCTGGCATGAACCTGTTGTTGTTGTTGATCTCCTCAAGTCAATTCTGACTCACAGCGACCCTGTATGACAGAGTAGAACTGCCCCATAGGTTTTTCTTGGCTGTAATCTTTATAGGAGTAGATTCCCAGGTCTTTTTCCCACAGAGCTGCTCATGGGTTCATACAGCCAACCACTGGGTTAGCAGCCCAGCACTTAACCATTGCACCAACAGGGCTCCTGGCATGAACCTCTACCTCGCAGTCATCAAGTTGCTTCTGACTCATAGCAACCCTGGGAGGCCAGTATTTAGAGCCTGACTTCCTCTCAACTTCAGATTTGTTGTGTAGGTAGGCTTTGAGCCAGGCACCTTCTTTGAATGAGAACTTCTCTTCTATGCATCCTGACTCTTTATCAAACATGTCAGCATAGAGTTTAGGAGGATGATTGCTGAAAATGGCTCTTAAGTAACTAAATATACCAGCACTAGTACCAGGTAACAACCACTGGGAAAAAAAGGGTGTGGTGTGTGTGTGTGTGTATGTGTGTGTGAAACAGAGGGCTGAAGTGTTCCAGCCACACATCTCTTTTCAGTTTTAAAATGAGAGCCTCTACTTCTGCGAAAACGGACCCCAGCTACACTTTGGGTTGTTTTGGATAGCTTAAGTCAGTGGTTCTCAACCATTAGTGTGCATTAAGACTCTCCTGGGATAGATACAGAGACTCAGGCCTCAGTCAACAGACATTTTGTTTTAACCTGGGAGCATTTCTAAGAAGCACTCCATGGGATTCTAAAGTGGGTAGTCTGTAGACCACACTTTGAGAAACTCTGGCTAGGGCCCAAAAAGCAAGGCCCTTCTACCACAGTGGTCTGCAGCATTGAGTGCAGTGTCGTCACTGGGGAACTGAACATGCAAGCAAGCAAGAAGCAAACCCAGTGCTTCCTTCTGGCCCTCTAGACTTTCTCATTTAATTGGACTGGGGTGAGGCCTGGGCATTGGGGTTTGAAAAAAAACTCCCCAAGTAATTCTAATGAGCAGCCAAGATTGAGAACCAATGTTCTATACTCACCACCCAAAGAATGGAGCCAGGAGTTTAACCTTTAAATGCCATCAGGGGGATCTGTGAAAATCTTAATCAGCCAAGACAGCCTCGTCTCTGAGCTGATACCTCCTGTGTCTTGAGGAATCTGGCTTTCTTTCCTTTATCCTTCTTCTTGCTCCTTTCTGTGCCAACAGAGAAGCCTGTGGTTTTTCTGATCCCATCTTTTATCTTTTCTTTTCAATTTTTCCCTAGGCTTGTGGTGGACATTTCAGAGGATCTAGACAGTGTCAGATATTCGTCTTTCTTTTTTAACCCAGAGAATGTGAAGTTGAACCAGAAGGAGTGCGTGTGTGCGTGTGCGTGTGTGTGTGTGTGTGTGTGTGTGTGAGAGAGACAGGCATGCTGGGGTGGTGTGCACTAGAGCAGGCTCATGAAAATACAACAGTTGTTTCCATGTTTCTGATTGTCCCCTTTCTTTATCAGCTGCAATAGATTGTGCTGGGGGCTGGGGAAACCTTAGCGGGTAAGTTGCAGAAATGCGACCTGTAAACCCTCCTTTGAAACCCCAGCTTCCATTTCTATCTTTGTCTCCCATGGCCTGAATCCTCCTGCTGCATCCATACTTTTGCTCTCCCTTTCTTCTGCCTCAGCTGGTACAGTCCCCCGGATGCTGCGCCTCCCAAGGCTGGGCTTCCTCTCAGTGTTGATTATTCAGAACACTCTATTTCCCCTGAAGAATTCAGTTAATTACAAGACACCCTGTTGCTCTGGATATTTGGAGCAGGTTGGATAATGGAAGTAGTGCTCAAATGAAAGACAAACAAGAATTTCAAATATGCTGGATCTTGAGAGGTGGTTAGTACAAGCGTCCATCTCCCACTCCTCTCCCCCCATTCTCCTCCTGTATTCTTTCTTGTTGTCTCCTTTCATCTGTCCCTCCTTCTCTTTTTGCTTCTATCTCATTTATTTAAGGAGCCCTGGTGGTGCAATGGTTAAGCACTTGGCTGCTAACCGAAAAGTTGATGATTTGAAGCCACCCAGCGGCTCTACGGGAGAAAGACCTGGCAATCTGCTTCTGTAAAGATTATAGCCAAGAAAACCCTATAGGGTAGTTCTACTCTGTCACACAGGGTTCCTATGAGTCGAAATAAAGTCAATGGTACCTAGCAACAACAACTCATTTATTTATCTCTTAGCCAATACTCATGCCTGCTTTGAATTTATTCTGCTTTTGGAAGAGAGAGAGACGGAAAGCAAGTTGTCTTCTAAAAAAAACCCAGAAGCTTTCCAAAGACAATGCTCTAACAAATTCATTTTGGGACATTGCTGGGTGTTGGGAATGCAGAGATGGCTAGGCTGTGACAGTTGCCAGGAAGGGGCTCACATCCTGGAACAGGAGGCCACCTGTCCACACAGGTGACAGCAGGAGAGTGGGCGCTGGAGCAGATGTGAGTATGAGACTGCTGAGGAGCGCCTCTCAAGCTCACTCCTGCGGGAGCTGGGAGGCTGCGCGCCAGCAGCCAGCCCCATGTGACTGTGACTGGCGATGCCCTGCCCTTATCCCAGGATGCCCTTGGAGGCTCCTGGTCTTCTCCCTTCCTGCAGATTTGCAAAGGAGAAGTCTGGCGGGAAGAGAAACATCAGTTTTACCAATATTTCACTCTCATTTTCATATGATTTAAAATAAATATTTTAAAGAAGAAGGATGGAAAATAACCTGAGTTTTGGTAGCTGGATGGATGAGCACTGTAAGGAATCATAGCCATAGTTGCTACTTATCGAGCACCTAATATGTGCATGGTGTTTGGCTACATTAACTCTTCAGGCATCCACAAGGAGACAGGAGAGCATAGGGGTGAGCCAGTAGGCTGAGGAGTGTGACTGTGTGCTTCTTGTCCAGGTTCCAGAATTTCTAGGCAGGTGACTGTGGTGAATTATTTATCCTCTGAGAGGCTCAGATTACTTATCTGGAAAATAATAATAATAAGTATGCCTATCTCTGGAGAAAGAATTGGCGATCTGCTCCCGTGGTTCCCAAGGCTGTAATCTTTACGGAAGCAAGTGCGTTTGAACCGCTGACCTTTCAGTTAGCAGCCGAGCACTTAACCACAGCGCCACCAGGGTTCCTTTTTCCTATAAGATTACAGCCCAGAAAACCCAGTGGGGCAGTTCTACTCTGTCACGTGGGGTCTCTATGAGTCAAAATCGACTCGACGGCACCTAGCAACAACAGCAACGTGCCTACATAACTTGCTGGTATGAGGGTTAGATAAAGTACTTCATACAAAATGTTGAGGTTCGAAGAGGTTACATGAAATGCCCAAGATCATCCAGCTAAAAGAGTCAGAGCTGGGATCAAACCCAGGACTATCTGACATCAGAGTCTGATCTCCACCTTTATTAAACTCAATGCTGTCTTCGTAAATTGTTTACTTAAAAGTGGTAAACACATTTTAAGGCAGCTAAAAAACCAAACCTGTTGCCATGGAGTCAATTCCAACTCATAGTGACCCTACAGGACAGAGTAGAACTGCCCCATAGGGTTTCCAAGGCTGTAATCTTTACAGAAGCAGACTGCCACGTTTTTCTCCCATGGAGCAGCTGGTGGGTTCGAACTGCCAACCTTCCAGTTAGCAGTGGAGTGCTTAACCACTGAACCCACCAGTGCTCCTTTTTAAGACATCAAGGTACCATTTAGTATATTGCTCAACGTTTTGAAAGAGTTTAATTTGTCTTCCACTTTACCCTCAGCCAACCCTGTACAAAACTGTTGACTCAACCTTTATAAAACTCGGACTCCCAACTGCAAAATCTCCAGTTAGATTCCTAGACTAAGTAACTTCTCGGAATGAACACCCGCTGCTTTCTTATTGCAGGGTTTCTCATCACTGACTCAATCGATATGTCTACTTCTTCAGTAGTATTAAAAAGAGTGCATGCCTTCGCTCCGGGGACCTAAATCTATTTAATTGTGGGCGGACTGTCTTTTTAATAAAAGAAAAGGAGCAGCAACACAATGCTTTTCATTGCTTAGGCACGGCGCTGGGGGAAATAACAGATTTGCCTTGACATTTGCATAGAGGTCCCAGGTTTGGCGTTTTCAGATTCTTCACAGGCACTGGGTAGATCCAAGGTGCATGATGTTTTCTGGGTGTGGTTGAGTTCTTTTCGAGAAGTTATTTACCTCTTCCTGGCCCCAGGGCTCTGAGGCACCAGGGTGATAATAACTTCCTAAGTACGCCAGTTCTGTGAGGTTAATGCTCCATCCCCAAAGTGCTTAATTTACACTGGGAGTAGTTTATTCATGGGCAGGATCTGGTCCATTAATTCCTGTTTTACCAAATTAGAAAACAAATCCAGCGAGAGATTAAATGACTTTTCCAGGTCAGGGGAGAGAAAGAGCTGAATCAACACACACTTCTGTTGCTGGTGGCTTGTTGGGTGGCTCGATGTCATCTTTTGCCCTCTGTGTCAGTTCTGCTGAGGGCAACTGGCTCGTCCTCTTGCCTTCAAACAGGAAGGAATGCACCCCTCTTGAGCAACCAAGAGTCAAGAGAAAATGTCGTATTTTGAAGACCTCCCCCTCCTTCAGTAAAGTATGCTCTAGGGTCAACATGTCAACCTGGAAAGGGGGAAAATAAAAATTATATCCCTGTAGTGGTTAAGACTATGGCTGCTAACCAAAAGGTCAGCAGTTCGAATCCACCAGCCGCTCCTGGGAAACCCTATGGGGCAGTTCTACTCTGTCCTGTAGGGTTGCTATGAGTCAGAATCAACTGGACAGCAATGAGTTTAAGTGCTAGAAAAGGAGCCCTGGTGAAGCAAACTGTTAAGCACTTGGTGCTAACTGGAATGTTGGCAGTTTGAACACACAGTGACTCCACTGAGAATAGACCTGGTAATCTGCTTTCATAAAGATTACAGCCAAGAAAACCCCTATAGGCTGTTCTACTTTATTGCATAGGGTCACTATGAGTTGGAAGCAATTCAACAGCACACAACAACAAGTCCTAGAAGGTTGGCTTAGAACATATTTTAGTGCCTCAAAATCTTTGTAACCTTGTGGCCTGCTGAAAGGGCGTCTGTCCAGAGTGAACGATATGACTGGGTCTTAACGAGCTATGTTCCAAGACAATCTTCTCCTCAAGTTGAGCTAAGATCATCTTCCATTAGCCCCATGTGCCTTAAAGCGTAGAAATAGGTGTTCCATGAAAATCGGCTATGTGATCAAATTTGTTAGGAAACTCCCTGGCTAAAATTAACCAGATTTCTCTGCTGCAGGACTTCTCAGAGACTTCAATAGTCTAATATACATCATTGCTGCACAGGAAGGATAGAGTAGAGTAGACAAATTTATTTGATACCCTTCTCTTAAGGGAATCTGTATTTCTACAAACTCATTTTGGAAAACATTGCAATAGTTACAAATACTCATCCCTTCTCCTTGGCTCTAATTATAAACACACAAAATAAGCTGGTCTAGCTCTGTAGCCAAAGCTCCTGCATATTTCAGGATAAATGTTATGAATTGCAGTACAGTACTGAGAAAGACAGGAATTGGGTTTTAAATGGCATGTATCTTGATTTCTTTATTCTTTTGTTTTAGGAGCAAGGACCCCAAAGCGTTATCAACGATTCTTCCTTTTATATATCTCTGTTTGAATCCAGTTGCATCCCTAAACCAAAGCTCCTTCTGTCTAAGACTTGGGTTCCTCTCATTATTATTCTTGTGATACTGGTTGTGCTGGGACTGTTGTCTTCCACCCTGATGCAACTTAAAATCCTGGTGTCAACATCCTTCTACCCAAGTGTGGAGAGGGAACGCATCCAATATCTACATGCAAAGCTACTGAAGAAAAGATCAGAGCAGCTACCAGGAGAAGTCAAAAAGAAAATGAGTCTGTATCTAACAAAGGTAAGGCCAAGGCAGGGGTATACCCTCTAATCAAGGCAATTTTGACTTTGAAGGACAAATGGAAAGGGGATTTCAAAGCACTCTCTAGTCTCACATCAGGGCTTATATCCCCAGCAATAGATGGAACACTGAGAGGAAAATTAACAGATGTAATGTCTAAGCTTTGTGAATTGAAGGTTTGTCCAGAGGATCCTACAAGATATCCTTCAAAATATTGGTTTCAAGTAAGTGTGTTCAGTCACATTGTAGAGAAGCTACTAGGAAGGCCCTCAGTATTGACTATTAAAGGGAAACACCCAATAATACTGCCTTCCCAGGTCAAGGATAAAGAAATAACGGAGAGGAAGACAATATTACAGCTTGGTAAACTCTAAATAATTTGTTCATTCTCCAGTGTTAAAATAAAAGTGTGTGTATACGCACACACACATTATGTATTATATATATGTTTAAAAGGTAACATCATGACTCTTACAGAAACACATGTCAAATATTTTATATAACTTATTAATTAATGTATAACAGTAGTAAATTAAAATTAATTTAAAGAATTCAAAACACACACACACAGGCCATCAAGAATGTTAAAATGAATTTGCTTAAAAGATGCAAAACTGGCCTCCTCCTCAGGGGCAAATGGGCATTTAGTCAATTGCACGGTACAGAGCAAAATTCATTTGCATGTCCATGGATGAGAATCATTTGCATTCTTGCTATCAGTTATCTACAATTTACAGAATTGGAAAATAAATCAAAGACAATGAAAGACCTAAGTAGCCCAGAAGAATAAGGTAGACAATGGCCATCTAAGATACTCCACTGGTCTCACCCCTTTGGGAGCAAGAGAGAATGAAGAAAACAAGATACAAGGGAAAGATTAGTCCAAAGGACTAGTGGACCACAGCTACCATGGCCTCCACCAGACTGAGTCCAGTACAACTAGATGGTGCCTGGCTATAACCACTGACTGCTCTGACAGGGATCACAATAGAGGGTCCCGGATAGAGCTGGAGAAAAATGTAGAACAAAATTCTAACTCACAAAAAAAGACCAGACTTACTGGCCTGACAGAGGTTGGAGAAACCGTGAGAGTATGGCCCCCAGACACCCTTTTAGCTCAGTAATGAAGTCACTCCTGAGGTTCACCCTTCAGCCAAAGATTGAACAGGCTC